AACTGTCATGTTAATAATTTGGCTGGTCTACAGGTTCCGTGCCAGCGTCGTTTCATCGCCGTGCCATCGCCGTGCCGCGTCTATCAGTCAATACGTTCAGGCACGGTGCTAGCATGCGCTGAAAAGACGCAGACATGGCACTGGCACAGCTCCGAATTACGGTCCTACAACCTACTCGCACTAAAATTTCGACACTTTTTCCATACCAGAATGAAATGCTAAGCTTTTTTAGCAGAAAATATCCGATCATAGAACATTGATTTTGGACACTCGATCATCTTCCCATTTATAGAACGTGCTCCTTCGCCTACTCGACCGAATGGATCACTAAGGCTGGACAAATGGATTTCGCATCTGTTGAGCGAAGGTAAAACCTAGTTTTTTCTTATTTTATGAAGACGTTTGCGTACATGTCACCATTTTTGCGAATTTGGTCAAGTGCTAGAATTGAGATCCGATTCAAATAAGAAGGCATAGGTTTTGAAAGATTTGCAGGATATTTATTAGAAACTTTGAAATGATGTGACAGTTTTAGTGCACGTTCACGAAAATCAGCTATATAAGTGACGGGGCGAGAGTATTGGAGACGAATTATACCGATGTAACAAATTATGATGCCTTCTCTCGTAGATATAAAGGGTGTGCCAAATAGATGTGAACAGTGTTTGATGTTTAGTGACTCCTTCGCCGAGAATGAGGTAACATTTAGTAGACCGAAGTTAAACTTAGAGTCACAGTATGGAGCGAATCACCAATCGCTCTTCATTGCTGTGGAATCGTTATGAACTTTCAGCATATAGCGCCATTAGACCACTGGGCGGAAAAGATTCTAAAAAAATCTAAAAATTTGCGAAAATATTCTAAAAAATCTAAAAATGTATGTAGCAAGGTTTTCAGGTGTGCTGGTTTCACTACACAATTTTTTACCAGTTTTTCGAATTTTTTAAATGATTTAATTACACTTCTGACAAACATTGGAGAAACATTTCATACCCTAACTATAAAATAGCGTATGAAAGAAGCATTACCGTGAAGTGCACTCTTTATACTCAGAATCAGCAACTTCGATTAGTCTAGTTTAAGAGTTCATGGCTTGTTTGGTTTTCCCCAGAGGGAAAAAATCGATTTCTATTTCTATAATCCTTCTCAAAGCTGACACCGTAATCCTATAATAACGAAGAGCGATTTATGATTTGCTTCATAGTGTTCTAAGTTGAACCTCGAAAACTTCATATTTTTCGTTCCATCGCACTTTCTCGAACTTTAGCGTTGCAGTAAATACTAGGTGACATACGACACAAAAAATAACAGGCATTCTGTTATTCATCTCAATTAGAATTCTCAAATATCCTGCAGTGCAAACAATATGTTATCTCTATGTACATATTAGTCCAGAAATCCCTATGCAGGGCTCGGCACAGGTGGCTTATAAGAATGATATCGTTTTTGGGACGAAAAGCAAAGAGGATATCATTTTTGGACCTGAAAAAACACAAAAAAAGTTAGGTTTTTCCAATCGACTTTCTCGACTTTGACTCAAAGGGACTTCGTTTTTGCATATTCGAAAAGCAACCTCGTGCCGAGTATACTTTGGGATATTCGAGAATTTTTTCGAATAATCGAATAACCGAATATATTCAATCTTGAAAATATCGAATAATCGAATTTCGAATTTTCAAAAACAAAAAATGTCGAATAATCGAATATCGAATATTTTCGAAATAAGAAAATCGTCGAATAATCGAATATCGAATATATTCGAAATGAAAAAAATCCGAATAAACGAATATTTTGCACCGATTATGTCGAATATTCAAACAAATTTTGATCGAAATAGCACACTCCATGCAGTTGGCAACTTAGACAACAAACGATGGTTGCTGGTATAGCAGTCAAAATTGTGACGCTGTCATTTAGTTATTCGATTACACGAAATTGTCGAATAATCGAAATAACTTCCAAAAATAAATATTCGAATGTTCGAATATTTTCGAAATCAAAATTATCGAATAACCGAATAATCGAATAAATTCGAAATTGATAAATTTCGAATAACCGAATATTGATTATTTTTGAGATTTTGAAATTTTCGAATAATCGAATTTCGAATAAAATTTATTCGAATACTTTATTCGAATACTCGAATATTATTTATTCGATTCGGTCCAAAGTATAGTGCTGAGTCCTGTCCTTATGGACGTGGTCTAAAAGTTGGGGTTGAAGTTTAGACACTTTTGAACAGCACATGTCTCCAACTCAGATTTCTCCATTTCCTTAAAGCAAATCGCTGATTAATTTTAGAATACAGAGCTAGCTTCCTCTCGCTTACTACCTATACATGAAATGCCCTCATTTCGTTGTAATAAGTACCACCGTTCTATCTATGAAGCAGATTTTCTTTTGATGTGTGTCTGTCATTCATATTCACTCGACCACATATGTTTGATCACCACATGGTGAGCTACTGTACGACGAAGACGTGCAGAAACGGTGCACTAAAAATTTGAGGACTTACGCTCTGCAGATTCTGCAATCAAGAACAAATAAATTTTCTCGCACTCACTAAGATCTCGGTTTCAAACTTGTTGTGAAGTCCAAATACTTTCGAATTTCTAACTTTGGATATCACAACTTCAAGATTTTTTCATCTATGTTGACAATAATGCAGTTCAGTTTCAAAGACAATGACAACTTTGGAACTGCGTTTAGAGCTGCCAGAGTTGAATCACGCCATGCCAGCATCGTGCTGGCACAGTGCCGGGATCTAGCCCTGTACTGATCGATCGGGGTTCCTGCACGACGCTAGCACGGCGCTGGAACGACGCTGACATGGCGCTGGCACAGGCAACTCCAGACTCTGTCAGACTTTGGCTCTTATGTTAGATTCACACGTGCCCTTCTCCTGTCAGCTATAACCATTTGCCTGATTGACTTCTTCCAGTGAGTGATAAGAGCACCCGTACATGATGAAGAACTCATCAAAAACAAGTAAAATTCAGGCATCTGTGGGCGATTTTTTTGTCTCGTAATTTTCTGGGCACAATTTTTGTACCTGTGCCAATTTTCTAGCAAGTTCTATTAATGGAGGATCTCCTACGAAAACTCCCCATGCGGAATAGCTAAATTTTCCTAACTTCCTGCCTCATAATTAAGACGTTTAGCAGCAGTATATATTTTTCCAAGTGAAGCTTCTGATTCCATTCCAACTATAATTCTGCAAGATGTTGCACGTAGTGTAGGTTGCAAAACGTCATGTGTTGTTCCTTTTCTCTGGTATTATGTATGACAGCGTGAGAAATCGCACTTGTTACTTGTTATTGTAAAATGCGTTGTTTGTTTTCTACTACATGAGAGTGCCAAATCTTAATGAGTTCACTCAGTTGTGAAAAAAAAAAGAATTCTCACAAAAGCAAAGTCTGCTCTAAAGAATCTGCTGATTTAGTTCTAGAACGCTTTACTGGTCTATAGTGGCGTCAAAAAATTGCTCGAGAGACTGCGGGCGACAGCAATCATTGTGAATGAAGAGGTCCCGCCTTCCGGAAAATTTTGTTTTCCATGATCAATTCAGAACTCTGAAAAACTTTGAAAAGTCATTTTATTCGTTCACAACAAAAACAGATCGCTTGCATAGTTTCACAACGCCATGTAAGAACACTCCCAAAATTTTCGCGACCCGCGCCCCCATCCTCGATCGCCACTACTGAATGGAATATGGACGCTCAAATAAAGTGCAAAGTCAAATTAGCTCTGCTTGGGTGAATGAAAATTTTTTGCATTCAGGTAAAGCTTTGTAATGTATAAACCATTGACTTCAGATAGTAAGCTTTCCACTGGCAAAAAAACGCATTTTCGGCAATCACTCTCGGAGCTGAAAAGACAGCCTTTTGACGATTATGGAAGAGTTCGGTAACTTACGTGATGAGAGCTACTTTCGATTAAATTTTTTTGCGTTCGCAGTTATTTGGTATTTGTAATAGGCACTATGTTAACCCTAAGAAAGCATTACAACAGACAAGCATGTCATACCGTATGCCTACCGTATCCTACGAGTTACTGTCATGCTGAATGCCAAAAATTTGTCTCATCGAGATGGATTTTAATCCACCTGCAAATTTCAATTATATTGCACTATGAGGAGAGTCAACGACGAAAATGCTTGTATTTTATTCATTTCGTCGAGACCTTTAACTTAGTATGCTATCTCACGCATTACTTCCAGGGCTCGGCACGAGGTGGCTAGATGAAAATGAAAAAAACGAAGTCCCCCTTGACTTTTGGGACTTTTTACGAAGTCCCCTTTGACCCTCAACCAAATTTCCTCTAAAAACTTGAAAAATTCCCCAAAATCCCCCAAAAAACGAAACGTCGACTAAAAAAAAGGTCGCCGTCGCCAATTTTCCGTGTCTCTTCGGTCACAAAAACGAAACCCCCTTTGCTTTTCGTCCCAAAAACGATGTCCAGCTTGCTTGTAAGCAACCTCGTGCCGAGCCCTGATTACTTCACGAGTATCAAGATTAAACTCTTGATTTCCGCGTTTCTTCTTTTTCTTCTTTTCTCTTTTAGTTCACTGCATATGTAGCAGTTGGTAGTACACAATTCCACAGTTTTTCTTGCTAGAAAAGTTCTTGCTAGGTTTTGAGGAGTAGCCTAATAGTGTGTCGTCGGTTGCTTCGCGCAGAGTGCAGGCTCACATATTGAGTTACAAATGATTAGCACATAAATGTAATTTCATTCAAATTTTGTAGTCGCAGATGAGCCACTAGATGTGGTCTGCAGACAAATTCCTAAAAGTGCTACTTTCCATTTCTCAAACGGTTCGCTCCCTTCCCCCTCCCCCTCCCCCCGCCTTCCCCTCCCCCATTCCTTTGTGAGGCTTGCAAAGTACATGGGAAAGGCTCGAACTAGTGCGCAGATCGATAATTGATTAGTACATGCAATGAATGTGTGAAGCGGAGTGATGGCACAACGGAAGGGGACAACTGTGCGCTTATCCGGGGAGTGAGTAATCTGAGGCGGTGTTCGGAGGGGCAGCGCCGCTGGTCAGCCGAGTCCGACGGAGTTTCAGCTGCGCTGCGATGTTCAGCCGTGGCCGACGCAGTGCAGCAGCAGCAATTGCCTGAACTTTCGCCGTCCCCTCCGAGCGCTGTGTAATATCTTCTCAACGGTTCATTGACCCTCTCGGCAAGAGCCCTGAACCCCTAGGTGGACTAGCAGCGCACTTCTCGCAACCCCCAAATTCCCCGGTGCCGTTTCCGGCCCCTCAGCCGCGCGGCTACACACATGCCTGGGATATTCTCATGGAAGCACCGAATTCTTGGCAGGAAGACTCCGGAGCCAGAACGAGCCGTGCAGGTTACGGTGCTTAGAGATACTGTTGATCGTGACTTGCATAATCACACACCGAGACGGAGTGTCAGGTTCAATGACTCCCGCAACGAATTCAGTCAGTACAATGTGCCCGACTGGCAGAACGACTATGGAGAGGCCAGGGTGATCGGATCTGTCAGTCCTGCTAATGCATCTGGTAAGTTGGGTTCCGTTGCTAGCGGGTATACTGCGTGGGTTGTATCCATCTGAATTTCCAATTTGTAATTTCAAATTTTTACCTGCAGATTGTCTTCAAAGCCTTAGTTCTAAGTTCTCTTTTCGCAGAAATTTATTCCAAATCGTAGTTTCAATTCCTCTTTCCACTTGGGCTTTTCTATCTTTTGTATTCGCGATGTGCAAATGGCATTCTCATCATTATTTGACATTCCGTTGAGAGTCAGTTTTCCGGTCCATCAAAAAAGCAAATATTTTACCTGAGATTATACTACACTTTTCGGACTGTTTCTGCCAAACTTTACTCAGATTGTACTCCTTTCCTACACTTGTGTGTCTTCTGATTTTTGCTATGTCTGACAGCTGTTGGGCCCTACTCTCCAAACTCGAAATTTGCTACTTCCCCCTCTACCCTTCTCAATCTTCTTCTCCAACCAAGCTCATCACACTAGTGCAATCGGTTCTTTGCGCTCTCTTCACTAAACTCGTAGAAAAGAAATTTGTGCGAAATCCGCCATATGCTGCTGCGTTGTTCTCTCCTTTACACTCTGTTACGCCTATCCTACTAATTACAGTTGAGCATATGCTACTCGTAAAAATGTGAATGGTCCCTAGCACACACTCGGCTCTTGCTGAAGAACATAAATGCCATTTGCATTTTTCAGCAAACTGCGCTACAGCTTTTCACCCCAGAAAAATTTCTGCGCCGTTTCGTTTTGATTTCATTTCAAAACAAGCGAAGCGCACGTGTTCACATTCGCATCGTCCTTTGAATTTCAAGAAAAAAGCAGAAAATCGTTGCCAGTGAATGACATAGGAATGCTAATCACGTTCTTTACACTGTGTCAAAGCAGTTTATCTCTCAGCGATCGTCACTGAGCCCCGCATAACTTGGAGGCGAAGACAGCTACGTAATGAAAATGTAACAGAGCCTTCCGAAGAATCGCTAAAGTGATCGAAAACATCGAGCTGAAAAGCGCATGACATACAGCTGCTACTCGTGATTTCCCGTGTCAGGGATGGGGTCGTTTGCTTTGTTGTAAAATGTGGTGAGACGAGTGAAAGGAAAGTGGAGGACTTTTTCGCGCGATGAAGGATTTTAGTGGCGGTGAAGGTGGGGAAGAGATGGTTGTGCAAAAGTCTGAAGTTATCATTAATCCAACGGTGACTGTCTATTCACAATTTTTTTCCGTTATAGCTTGCCAAAGGACTGGGATGGGACTACTAAGGTTGCTTATCTGGAGTTTATGTCGAAATGCATGCCTTCGGGCGATTGCCATTGCCTGACTGGGCTCGTCCTCCGCAAAAATAAAGTTTTCAGATCCAGAATTTTGTCAATATTTTCAAAAGTGTAGAAGGGGAGGGGGGGGGGATTAGCTGAAATTAACAAACAAGTTGTAGTTAAACTTTTCTAATAGTTTTGTTAGTCAATGACAGTCGATCAATACGCGCTCTTTGACCGTCTCACTCTTATTTGTGCCTCAAAATGTGCACTGCACAACGTGCGCGGTATTCTACGATATCAGCTTAGTGATTTTTCAGGTACTCCTACCTCTTTTCTTTTTACGTGAGCATAATTGGTTAGGTACGGAAGGTGTAAAGAAACTTTTCAGAACAGTCTGTTTCATCTGCACGTTTTTCTCTTAAGCCACAAAGTAGTCGTGAGATGCCAAACGTGAAGTGTAGGCTCCGTATTGAGTTGCAAAAGATTCAGTAAAGGTGTTAGGTGTGGCATGTATAAAAAAAATCGATTTCTTTCATTCTGCCTTTTTCCTTCAGTTTCTCTAGCGATAGTTTCATCAAATTCGACTCAAATTCTTGCACCTCATGTACATACAGTTGGACAAGTTTCATATTCCTGATATGTTCAATTGCACATTTTCCTAGATGGAGCTAGCCATGGCGCCCAGAAGTGTTTTTCTTGTTTGCAATGCGGGCGATATTTTGTGCATTTACTGGAAAGCCGCACAGAATGCCAGTTTCCAAAAATGTGTACCACAGATTAGCGAGGCTTGTTCGACTAAATAGAGCCATTTGTAACTCGATATGTGAGTCTGCACACTGTGCCGGCAACCCACGGCTCTTAATAACTCATTAGCAATATTTGATCAAGCAGAAGAAACTGTCGAATGTGTAAGAAAACATGTTTTGATTTTTGCACTACTACCTACTTTTTATCCAATTAAACGAAAATGAAAAAAATAATGAGAATTTTCTATAAATTGGCAGGACTAAGCATAAATGTCGTGAAATACTGCGCGTAGTGTGCACGCTGGTGAATTACAAACGACTTGACTGTATTGGCTCGAAATGTTTTTGTCACTCGACGCACACCTTCCGGAGCAAATGCCACTGTAAAGAAAATTCTCTTCGCATTCATTTCTCGTGATCGATTATTGATTGACTCCTATCAATCGTGATTTTAATTGCGCAAAATTTCATGAGAAAAAAGACCTAGCTCTAGTCTTCAATCGCAAGCAAATTTCTACCTTTACTATCCTCTAAATCGACTATATCTAGCTTATGGTCTTTATAATTTTTATTATGGTTTTAGCGCGCTAAATTGGCTCAAGCTAGTCGATTACATTTGTACTATCAAGAAAAAACAGTGGTCGTCACAAAACGTCGCTGGAATTGCAAGGAAATCTAGTAGAATCGGTTGAGCAAACACGTGCATGTCCTTTTGGCTGTTCAATATGATTAACTCTCACACATCCGCCGCAGAGCTGGCGCTGCCGGAATGCGCGCAAGCGGCTGTCCGGTGAGGAACTGCACTCAAAAAGCGCGCAGGTGCACGGACACGGTCCGCATATTTGTGTTTCTGCTTTTCTCGACACAAAAGCTCTTGAGCCCCAAAACTGAAGCCAGCAAAACCCATTGTCGAGTGCAAGCACTTGTTCAGGGATAATTAGCATCGTTTTATTAGCAGTTGCAAGAAAATACGCTCAAACAGATTTGTGTGCTAAATCGGGACCACTTTTTAATATTTGCAGATCTTCGTTTTCGATTATTTCTCCTTGTCAAAAAATGCTCACTGAACAGTGCTCGCCACGCTAAATGGTGAAATTCACTCCCATAGTCAATATCTTCCGCAAACCCTATGATGGTCCAGTGGCGTACAGCCCACCCCCCCCCCCCTTCCAGAACTGAAAATTTTTGAAAGTTACCTAGATGTGTTACGAAAATGGGCAAGCGACCTGACTTTAATTGTAAATAAAATAATTTTAGAGAAATGTCTGATGTTTATATTAGCTTTGAAAAAATTTCCTCGGAGGCATGCTGCCGCCATGACTTTTCCCGAAAATTCGGGGTTTATGGCCCGCAAAAATTCTGGGAAGCATCTCAAAACATGTTCGGAGTGCTTGGCTTATGCCGCTCACCTTCATCCGAAATTTTCGTTCCCTCCCCCCCCCCCCCCCCTGCCCGCGCCCTTCAAACGGAAATCCTCTGCACGCCACTGCCACAGTCGCGTCATTCATAAACTCAATTTGTGCATTACACAACAGGCGCAATATACCACGATTTGTGCGATTATGTGCTGCTAATATTAGGGTCGCTTTGTTTTCATTCGAAAAGTTACTTCGCCAATTCCTGAAATGAGCTCCATAACTTTTCCGTCAAATCGTGTCCTATTATTCTTTACCTGCAACTGGCCGCAAGATGTCGCGCTCGATGTGCAGTCTTATGTAGTGTTACATGCAAATGACTACTATAAGCGCATGGCACACGAAAGATTTCATTCTTTTTCTCTTTCGTAGGTTATTCTTATTTTGTAGCATAAAAATGAATCTAGCCTCCTAAAACAATCAAGATGAATGGTGCTCTAAGCAGGATTATTACTCATTTTCTGTTTTTCGAAGAGATTTGTGGCCCTTTCTCCACTGCTGATAAAATTTATTGCTTAATAAACTTGAAATAAAGCATAATAAATCTTGACAATTGCAAAGTTCGTGACCACGGAAGTCATAAAAAGTGCTTTAAACTCGTAATCACAAAGCAATTGCTGTTTCAAAGAACATTCTGCTTCCATCGGTGCAAAAACCCCTCATTCTCAACTATTCCGTAACTTCTAGTTTCGATAGCTCAATATTTACATTCATGTCTCTCAATTAATAAGTGATCTCATCCGAAAGGGAACAAAATGCTAGAAAGGGAAGACTTTGTCGAACTTTTGCTGAATTTCAAATCGATTGCAAGCTCCATTTTAGCGATTTGTTCATTATTGTTCCAAAACAGAACAAGTTAAGCAAATGCATGTATCTGTTTTATTTACTTATTGAGCAACCATAACTATATCAAGTTTTGAAAAAGAGGAAGAGGAAATATAACGATTTCCACTAAAATTCTTCAGCGCTTTTTGAAATAAAAAAAAAGAATTTGAGAATGATCAGGACAATGGATAAAGTCGAATTGACTTGTAATGTAATTGGCAGCCGTCAGAAAACATGTGTAGGATTGAACTTTCCAGTCATACTCTCTAACATACTACGATTTGATTTATGAAAGGTAGATCCCATTTTCTTATTCCGAAATTTTTTGGACATTAAGTTTCTACCTTCAAGCTAAGAATACCAGGAGTTGCTTCGAAGTTTATGGTGCTTTATCCCATGCGTATCAGTATCGAATCAGCTACAGTAATCTCCGTTACAGGAGTGGATAAATGCGAGCAGCCGTCGTCGGACTGGCGCTACGCGGACTCGTCCTATCGGATGTCGGTGGCTCCGTTGGCGTCGTCCGAAGTGCTGGACGACGACTCGCCGGCACTACGCGGAGGCCGCGGATTCACGCCATCGTCGGCTCCAGGCGCCAGCAGAGCCGGAGCCGTGCTGCAGCACCTCAGAGAACAGGCAGGTGCCCGTTGTAACGCGTTTCTTCAAGCGAGTACTTTGCTGCGGAGTGGAAACTCACTGCTGCTCTTGCACTAAGCTGCTATGAAGAATTTGCTTGGCGCGTGCTTGCGCAAGCTCAAGAAACGTCCGTATGTTACCCCTCCTGAATTACACTGCCCTTCTCCAACAACTGAGGTAATATTAGCTGTTTCGCTTTTTAAAACTTCTTTTTGTACAGTCCGTATCAATTACGTGCTCTCTTTTGCGTATATGCACCCGCAACGCAAAGCTCCAATGGATAAGCACATTTATTCTCGAGCCATACGCGCGCGAACGTACGAAAAGCTCTGAGGGTGTACGCAGTTGACACAGACTATTGTTACTATGGTATGATCGAGTAGTCCTTGCAAAAGTGTTATAAATGCATAATTTTGAGGTTAGAAATGGTGATTAAGCTTAGAAATAGTTTTTTTCTGTTTTTGGCTTTTTCTACTGCTTATACATAGCTGTGTTGGAAAAAGCATGAATGAACAGACCTTAAAATGCGGTGTCGGGTGCACAGGTTTCTCCACTCCCGCGCTGGACTCTGCATCTCTTCCGCGAACATGCTCTCTAATCATTTCCAATATCGGTTGAAGATCCGCCTCCACGCTGGCCCTATGAAAGTGCTCAAAGAGCATGCCCGCGAAGGAGAAGCAGAGACCAGACGAAGCGGCCTCGCGGTAGCGGAGATGCTGGTGCACCCGACACTTCAGTTGATAAGCCCTGTATCTTCACGCTTCTCTTATCTAACAAGGAAACATACCAACATAGTTGGCGATTGAAGATGAGATGTATATCAGTAGACGCGCCTTTGAACGCTCATTCCAAATCTGCTTTCGTTTTTTTGCGGGATAAGTTTCCGAAAGAAGTTGTGGGCGTTCAAATATCCAAATTTGTCAAGGTTTAGATGGCCTAAAATTGGCGAAAAGCTGTACAAAAACACCGGAAAGTGGGAAGTCATTTCTTGTATAAGGTATATTGTTTGCAAAGAAAGAACAAAGCCGGTGGAAATCTAGGTATTATTTAGAGCTTTTCGCTGGTTTTAAGCCACCCAAGCTTGGCAAATCTGGACATGCAGACTCTCATAACTTCTTTCGGAAACTTACTTATTCTGCAAAAAACGAAAGCAGATTTGGAATCAGCGTTTAAAGGCGCATCTGATGATTTACATCTCATCTTCATTTGCCAACTAATCTTGGTATCCTTCCCTTGTAAGGAACCTATGTCCAACCGCAAACATCCTGGAAACTCTGCGATTTCACATGATAGCAGAGACTAATAGACTATGAATATATATCGATTTTGTCGTTAGCCATAAAGAAAAAACATAGAATCCATTGATTAACATGTGGAAAACTTGTGGATTTGATGTACAATATAGTGTTGTCTCACAGAACGTGCTCGTAAAAATAGCCATTGAGGGCATATTTTCAATTGGCCGCTGTTGCAAATTTTTTAGTGCAAGTGTTGTCAGCCCCTGGACATTATTGATGGTTAAATTTAGTATATTATCAATGTTAGGTTGGAAAGAGAAGAATGGTCAGGGAGTTTTTTTTTCAGCGAGATCGATGTATCTCAAGAACTAGGGCATATCCAAGGCAGAAATGTTATGCTTAAAGTTTTGAAGGTTTGTAGCACACAACGGCATACATGGGAGGAGCCCAGGAACTAGGGAGGAGTTTGCCATTTTTCGTTCTTCAATTTTTTCTCAACTTCTAAGAATAATTAAATATAAGGTGTACCCAAGGATAAGTGTATGGTCTGTTACATGCTGGAGCAAATCAGAAATTTGTAAGATCTTTTGGGACGAAAATCCGACTTTTGACATTATGAGTTGTTCCTATGTTTAGGCTCTAAACTTTGCATAAATCACGACTTCAGCCAAAGTTCGTATGTCATCTTGTGGAGCTTTAATTGCTCTATCGTATGGCACCCACGCATAATTTTTTAGATTCGTTTTATTGCACTGCTATGATAAACGACATTCTTTTCTTTCCAATCTAATAATAACATTTTCTTGTGTGTTAGCCCAGTACTTGAAATTTGACACCAGACATCCTGAGAGAAATATGTGAAATACAACACCATGTTTTAAAAAAATGTTGCGACACTCGATTTCTATTCTTGAATAAACGTTAGCTATAGAAATATGAAGACTACGCATTTTTTGACTACATAATTTTATCATTTTCATTTTGAAGGCCGGTCATTCAATTTGTATTATTTTTCTTAGTGGAGAAATAATTGTGAAGGTATCCGAGTAAGTTCACGCGATTTGATCGTCGCGATTCAATCGCTATAAGGCCCCGGACAGACTTCACGCGATTTGATCGTCGCACTGAATCGCGACAAGACAACTGTTACAACATCATTCCATGCCGATCAACTTACATTTCGGTTGTGATACTTTTCCAGCCCGAAGTTTTTGAACGTGAAATGAAAATGAATGAAAATTGCGACGACTAAATCGCGACGATCAAATCGCGTGAACTCTGCCCGAGGCCTAACGGAATTCTACAGTGTTGCAATGGTAGATCCCCAATTAATCTATCAGCGAAGTTAAAGTTCGAAGTGAAAAAGCGCGACTGGGAAGCCCAAAATCTGCTCCGGAAGTCTCCCGGACCCCGCCCATTTACACGAATTTTGGAGTGTACTCGGACACGGATGGCTTTGATAAAAGCTCATTTTTGCCATTTTCATGCGCTAAAGCCCAGATAAAGCTTCAGCATGACGATCCCAGATATGGCTTTAGTACGAAAAGTTGAAAAACCGGAGAACGGAATTTTGCCGGGACAGTGCTTTTGGTGCAGATTTATCTTCGCTTTTGTTCCACTGATCCTTGAAAAGATCTGTTCTGAATGACGAAGCAAATTCCAAGACTGAAGCGCTTTTTCTCGCTTTCTAATCATCCTGGGAAAATGCATTTGAATTTTTGTTATATTTGCTGTACATGTGCTTCTTTTTTTCCGATATATCAAACTGTAATGCGGTTTTCTTCAATGTTTCGCGCAAACAGCTGAAAATATAAATTTTTCGCTACTATAGTAGATGGCAGAATTCCAGCCCTTATATTAAATCCCATTTGGTGGCTATAGAATTCCTATGTTTTTTCGAGCAGATCGTTGGGAAATGTAAAAAAATTGAAAAAAAAAGCGAAGTGGCCGTGAAATAGATGACACCATAAAAAAACCAACTGCTTGGCGCAAATTTCGGAATGCTCCCAATTTTTTCAGTGTTTCCAACGTTTGCTTTACTTTTTGTGCTTCTTGATAAGTACAGGCAAGCTGACTGGAATGTCACATGCAATCTCTTCAGAATGATCACACGGATTACGAAAGAGTGCGACCCTCATCGACATTACCGACAATGGGAGCTCGAGCGATGTCTCCGGTAAGGGGACCAACACAAAGCCAGTTTGGAGGGTCCCCAGCTACGATGCCACGGTGGGACTCTGGAAGAGCCGAACATTTCCACCAAAACGGCGAGTACGCAACCCCGGCTAGGCAACTCGAGCAGATGAATGTGGTCTTCCTGCAGGCAAACGATGAGGTTAAAAGAGCCATTCTTCCCCCTGAGGTAGGATTTTTCAAGCAAATTATTTAGCCCCAAAACTATGCGCTTTTGCAGGTGCATAGCCTGGATCAAGTGAAAATGGCCTTTGTCCGTGCGTTCCCGAACATTTCAAGGCATTACATTGAACAACCATCCATAAAAATTTACATCCAAGAGCCCTCCAAAGGACAGCTTTTCTACGAACTTGATGATCCTGGGTGAGAAAGATTTTTTTCTTTTTATAGATATTATTAAATATTATTTTTATAGATTCTTTTTATAGACATAGAAAATATTTTTTTCTTTTCTAAAATTTTAATGTTTTCTTTGTTTACGCAGTAACGAGAGTGAAGTGGTAACAGAAAGGCAGGAACGAATCAATAAATCAATTTTTTGCGCAACTAGTCAGCTAATAGTTGGTGATTGCACTTGTTCTAGTACCAGTTCTCAAGAGCAAAGCCGGACTAGATGCTATAATCCCTTTGTTTGCTTCTACTTTGCGACGGGATCGTGACAACTTTTTTTGAGCTCTCACCAGCGTTGTAACGCAAAGAAAAGCGCTCACACTCACTAATATTGGGAAACTTTCGGGGAAAGTTGTTTTCTGCTGTGTCAATGGATTATGAAAATTTTAGCAGTTAATCTAAGACATGTTTATAATTCAGTGTTAAATGATGCGTTTTTGTTTAGAAAAGCTGTTCTAAAAATCGAAAAATCTTTTCTCTTGAGTTCTGTAACTCAAAATTATCCAGTTTATTCTGTTTTTTTTTTCAATTTATCTCGCACCTTCCAGTGACATACGCAATAAGTCTGTCCTAAAGCTGCGTGAACACTCCAGTACCGGTATACAATCGCCAGCACGTTTTCTCGAGCAACCGGATTATTTGTCAGAAACGGAAAATGACGATGGTAGGCAAAGGTAAGCGGGCTCTTCTTACAATTAGAGCACATGATCATTGAGTCATAATGTTTTGCGAGTTTATCACCTAAACTTTGGAAGAAGCTTCACGCATTTCTGATAAGGTTTATAAGCGCATTTAATGTTAGATGAGAATGCTTGAATTGACGTATAACAGGTAGTATTGTAAAATATAAATAAAGGACACTTTTGGGGAGGGTAAGAGGATGTCGAGGTTATCCAGACCAAGAAGTTACGTATTTCTGAATAGTTCAACTCATTAAACATTGACGACCATGCAGATTTTCAGTTGTCTGACAAGGCTGACAAAAATGGTAGAGGTCATCCATAGATTCAGCGCAAAAGAAAGCTCATGGAGGGAGTTCTTCCCAGAATAGTAGTCATTCTAACAAAACTCAAGCCTTGACACACATGGTGTGTCAAGCGGTCCCACACGGTAGTCATTGCTTGACAGATTATGTGTGTCAAGCGGTCGTCAATGTGTTAAGTAAGCCTATAGGTTTTGCTAGAGTTTTGACTGTAGTTGCTGCTGAATTTTATGAATTCATTTGGCGTAGTACAGAGTTTGAACAAATCTAATGCGCTTTTGATTAGTTCCTGAAGAAGAAAATAGTATTGGCATACCATCCCATAATAAGCTCGCAAGGAGAGACACTCACATTGTATTTTTGTGAATCTTGAGCTCGAAAAATGTTCAAAATTTTTATTTGAAATTTATCTTTTTGCGACAGTTATTAACCAAATTAATAAAATAGCATGAAACTTGGTGAATTGAGTAGTCATTTCACTTCTAACTGCAGCGCTAATATTAGTAGGTGTACAAACCTAAATTCTGTTTCATGAGCCCTTCTTTTTTTTGCTGATTTTGCGTTCCAAAATGATTGATGTTAGATTCCAGATGTAGTACAGGTTATTGACTGTGCCAATATAGTTCTCTCTTCATAAAAGATGGCCTAAATGGTGACCATGTTGTTTTTACCGTGTCTTTCTCCTTTTCAAGAGTGTCTTCTCTTTTCCAAAGGGAAAATTAATGTCTGCTGCAAATTGCACTCTCCGTCATTTTCAAAGTTCAGGCTTGCAGTTTTTCTGCTTCTTTACTTGTCAGGCTCCATATGCTTCTCGATATGTTGTAAGCAAAGTTCCGAAATGTTGCTTGTGAAGCGATAATCTTACTTGTTAGATACGTCCATCGAAATCGTAATTTGCGGCTGACTTGAGTAGCAGCTGTTGTTGAAAATTTGCAGAGATAATCAATGTTGTCAATCTTGATAACAATTCATTAAGATTCGTCTCACTGGCTCGACCGGCATCAGCCATGGCACACACAGACTATCGCAAAACTCGGAAAGCGTACGATAGCTATGATCCTTATGGAAGTGATACTAGTAGTCACGATTCGCGATCTGTAACAAGGAGTGGTTCTGCCACACCCATCATAGATAAAGAGTCTAGGTACGAATAATTTACTATGGCCTCATTTTTCGTCTTAGTTTTATTTCCAATCAAGACAGAAAAAAATTAAGTTGTTGATGATATTATCAATTTTTCCGATCCTTTTTCTCAGGGCGCGTCCAGGGTTGCGCCTAGGTTCCGTGCTAGCGCCGTACTAACGCCCAGCAGGACGCGACTGGTATCGATCGATCGAAGTTCCGGCACGGCGCCAGCACGATGGACATGGACACCATGGACATCCCTAACGCAACCTAAGATTAACCAAAACACACAGAAAAATAGCTGACTATCAGAAATCAATGCTAAATCTCATACCTCCTATTTATTTGAAACTAGTTGGCTTCCCCGGTCCAGCCCGAGGTATTTTTCACAGATGAGGTAGATGGTGCGGTTGCCAGCAAAACTACCGCACTGCAACCCCCCCCCCCCCACGTTTTTTCATATGAATGACCTACCTTGCGGCGCCCATTTCGGTTCACTGCATCCTCGTGCTCCTGGGGTAGAAATGAACTTCACCGCTCTCCTTTACATGACAATGAGAAAATGCTTGATCAAACATGATAAGCCTTCCATTCCTTAGAAAAACGTAAACAAATCAATAAATCGATAGAAGGACCCAACGAATCGCCGCAAAAAGTAGCCTATCATCTGCGCAGGGGTCGAAGACGTATGTGTGCAAAGTTTCAGCTGAATCGGTTGAGCGGCGCGCGTTTCTATAACGCACATAGCCTCCAAACTCACAATTTTGAGTTTTATATATATATAGATTTACAACTTTGCAGAGCTCGTATGGAATCAATGGAACGGCAACTTGCCGGTCTTTCCAGTCTTGTGCATTCAGCGCTAGTTAGCAAAGGCATGAGCGAGAGCAGCAGAAGAGACATGGCCGACCTACGTAGAGAAGTGCCATTAAGCTCACAATTTTGAAAGAACAAACTAACAGAATTTGTTGGCAGATTCTCGCCCTACATCCAGACGCTGAACGAGCAGCTTCAGAAGAACCGCCGTCATTGCCTGATAGTATCTCTTCGCATACACAAAGTCAGCTTGACCATCTTCGGCAGCAAGTGCATAAAGCGAGCCAGGACATGAAGCAGTTGAGAAGGACGGCACAGGTAAAAAAATATAGTGGGTTGCGAAAGTTTCGTAGTATCACTTTCAAAAAAACGTAATTTCTTCTTTAAGAGTATCTTGCATGGCAAAAATACCAGCAAAAAATCATGTACTTTCTAGTGACACCTTCTTTACTTCTACTGTGTTTGAATGCAGGAATTATCGGAGAAGAAGGTTTTTTGGTTTTGCTTATTTCAAGCAAGTCGGTTAGATGTACAGCATCATAAGATTCTTTTCTCTTTCCGACTATGCAAAGTTTGGCTGATCGGGCTTCTCTATGAAAAGTCATGATTTCCAAAAAACGAAAAGAACCATTTCTAGTTTTCTGCTATTTTTGACATTTTTTTCGAAAATCGTAACTTTTTATAGAAAAGCTCGATCAGCTCAAACTCTTATCAGTCCGAGAGAAGGGTCAGAACCTATGACTGACTGTTTTGAAATTTCATTCCAGAGTTTTGAGATTTTAACGGGCTTACCTCTTACCTTGAAACCTCAAAAGATCTCCTTTTCCATTTTAGCTCTGCAATCAAAGCTTAGTAGGAAGTAAAGATGTTTTTTCTTAGTACACTAGATGCATGACTCACTCTTTTTACTAGTAAGCCATGCAAGACTAAGAAGAAGTTAAAATTTTAAACGACAGAACATGCGCTTTACCCCAATACAAAATTCTGTTCGTAGCTTTCAAAAATTCCACGCAAATCTGGGCGCTGTAATTAACTGGAGGCCTTGCCGATTTTTAAAGCTTAACTAATTTTATCAGTTTCTACTTCTTTTTGCGAAAACAACTTGCCAAAAACAAAAAAAAAAAACAAGAACTGTGCAAAGCGAGAGCACCGATGTTTTCCATGTGAGTAAGTTCTTTTTCAGGTGAACGCTCAGAATGCCAGAAATTATATTCATGAGGCTGGCGAAGAGATTGCGCGATTGATAACGCAAAAGATCTTGCAGCATAACATGAATGACAACCACAAAGTGAGTAACGGTGACGATTTCTAGAATTTTCTCTATACCATAAACATCACGAGTTGCTCTTGCAGAATGATAATGGTGCAGTCGTTGCATCGAAAGAGGAGGTAAACAGAGAACGAAGATCGCATGAGCAACGGCTGTCACGGCTGCTTGAAGGACTATCGTAAGTGCCGAATACACAGAAAGACTTTTGGAAACGAATTTTTTCCAGTAAGTTTGAGAGTAATGTGGAATCGGTGAGAAGCAGCGTGCTGACGAGCAATCGCAAGCTACGGATGTCCGAAGTGGAATCTTTGACGGAAGGTCTGACGCAAATAGGAAGAGAAGCTGCTACTTTGAAGAGTGAGTTAAAAGCTTTCAACTCTTCTTATAAAGGCACTAGTTTGGGAGAAATCGGAGACGAGTTGTTCTTAGCATGAGTCCCACTTCCCTACAGGACATATGAAAAGATTGTGAAACGGGGGAATCATATAGAGCACAAAAAAGTTATGAATTTCGCTACTGAAAAACATTCAGAAAATCGCAGCTTGGGCTGGAAGTTTATATGAGGAGCCAGATTACAATTTCATATGTCGCCCTCATATGAAATGTGCTGGTGCCATACCCCGGATAAAAATTCTAAAACCGCCATCTCCTGCAGGAAAGCAGGAGCGTGGCTCGTGGCTCACTGTCATAAGTAAGGAAACAGTGTTTTGCGAAGAGAATGTGTGCGAAAAGACTGTGCGGTAGAAAAAAGGCGCCACATCTTAGGATCAGCCACACTGATTCGAAATTGGTGCAATCCAAAGTTATCGCTGAATTGAATATGTCAACATTTACAGCCGAATTCCCACCTATCCAGTCAGCCATCGAATCCCACATCAAAGATGATATGGAGCGTATTGTCCGTGAGGAGAAGTACATTCGAGACCAAACGGCGGCTGTGGATCAAAGCCTGAGACGGTTCGTTTTAATATACGTGTGATGTCGCAGGGGATTTGATGGGTGACTGTTCAGGTGCAAAGCCCTAGCTAACATTATGGTCACCATGAAAAAGCTCGCCATGGTGCAAGATCCCACTATACAACGGACGAAGAAGGTGAGAATGGAGTTACTGAACTATATTCTTGAATACACTATGTTTTAGGAAAGCATCTCCTCAGTCGCGTCCAGCACTCCCCCAGCACCTGCACCACCTCCACCACCTCCTCCTCCACCAGCTCCGGTTGGCAATCCCATTACTCATCAGACGAATAACGAAAACGAGCGTCCACTTCCATCCAACCTCCCTCAACCAACAAATAGTTTGCAATCACAGCAATCGCAGGCAGCAAACAATGTACAGCAGCCGACAACGAACGGTCCACAACAGAATGGATCCGACTTCGTTGCCCCGTACACTCCAAATATCTCAAAGAACGCACCGGAGCAGATGCCGCCAGTGCCACAATCTCCTCTTTCGCCAGCAAACGAATTGGATAATGTCCTGGAAGAGGTTTGCATTCCCCCCAAAGCTGGAAAGCAAAATCTCTTGTGCTTGTAGGTTTCTCCGAGCGGGATCCCTCCACGCCCTCCGAGCAGGTATTCGGTGCAAGACGTGCGCACGAAATTCCAAAAACCACCTGAGCTTCCTGAACAAATCAAAAGCCTGATAGACGAAGTTGCTCGTCGAGCTTCACCTGGTCCAGATGCGAACGAGCGAAGGTCACTATAGGTGCAGCGGCAATAGCGTCTAACTTTTTTCTTGTTTCCAGATTGGATTTGGAAGAAAGGCAGGAACGCTTAGCAGAAAAACAGCGACAGCTTCGCTCGCAGTTCCAGCAACTACAGCAAATGACTCCCTTGCCTTGAACAATGAGATCCGCAACGCTTTCGCTGGAAATCACCTATTGAAACATCTGTTGTAGACATTTTTATATTTATTGAGAGATTTATTTGTTCTACAACGTTTGATTTTCAACTGTTCCAAGCAAAACCTAGTTGTTTTCTTTTTTTGAGAGCTCTAACAAAAGTGCTATTTTTTTCTCTGGGAAACAAACACGATTGATAAGTAAATATTTACTCTATCCTAGATAACAAAACATATCAAACATGACAGCAAAGTCGAGTACTAAACATCACTAAACCTACGTATAAAGATCAGAAAGTCCGAGGCACACCTTTAGTAATCAGATCATCAAGATCCTTGAGCGTTTGCTCAAACTCGTCAAGTTCCTTCTGCAGTTGTTTCTTTTTGTAGACTGAGAAGTAGTTAACACCTAAAACGACACGAATTTCTCAAGTGATAATTCCACAACTTCTCTCAAACAATTATGATCCTAAGTCCTTTGTCAACATAAGGGAAAATAGAGAAAAGTGCAGATTAAACCACTGAAACGTGCAAGACTTTTGAAAACAGGTGCAAAACTCATAACGAAACGTAGAAAAAGGCGTTGTAGTACAATGTATATAAAACTGCACCAACAAACAAAGAATAATTATACAAGCGAAGCAGACCCCATACCTCTGAACGAGAAGTATATCTTGAAAAGTTCGAAGCCTGCGCCGGCAGCGACACCCATAAGAAATATGCCTTCCCATCTTGAAGACAAAGTGCTTATAAGACGAGGGAGGTTCATCTGCAATAGTATGAATCTTATTTGGTCAGTGAACCACAGTATTCTTAGATCTTCACTTTGATAACGACAGACTGTTGCTAGAGCTTTAAAACGCACATTCTTACTACGTTGCTAAAAGCACAGCCTCATCTAATTTTAAGCCCTCCATAGTTACAGGGAGAGAAGTCATGAAACAGGAAATATTATCACTGTCATGCACAACAATGAGAAAAGCTATGAAAAGAATCACTGATTGAAAGGATCAGTTTCCGATATATATGTTGGTAGAGAATGATAAAGAAAAACTTACTTGTTTAGAGCAAACCCCGCTCGATCAGCTTCAATAAGTTCTCGTTCTAACTGTTCTCGTTCCTCCCGACGTATCGGCCTCACAAAAGTATAATAAATGCCAGTATTTACAATACAGTATGATGTGCTGAAGAGGATGAATCCCAATATAGAGCGAATAAATGCTGAAAAAGAGGACATTAGACTAGAGTGACTTGTGAAGTCAAGAGTCTCAGCTTTGATTTTCTGACGGTTTATCATAACTGATATAACAAGATCATGCTCAGACAAAAGACGCCATTCGTAGCTAATATAGATGCTACACGATGCCGGTCCCACTATACAAAGAGAAAAACGAGTAGAAAACTTTCCCTCCCCAAAGCCCAGAAGTTGGAAAAATAGTTCGTTCACAATCGTTGTTTTTACTCATAGACAAAGCCATAAAGAACATGTAGCACTTTACAATGGAAGCTTGAAAATATGATAGATTTTGCTGTGCTTCAAGTCCATGTTACCTCGTCATCAATTTATGACCAACTCAGAGACCTAAAACGATAACCTTACTTTTATGGAGGATATCTAGCCGCCGATGAGTGAATATTCGTCTGTACAAGGGTCGCCGATCTTCTCGTTTTCTTGCCGCCCACAGCAAAGGCGTCAAGTTCATCCACTAAAAAAGTAATTAATCAATTTTGTACTTGATAAGGCAGTTACAACGATATCCAAAGAAAAGGATAGTGATCGATAAAAGAGAAAAGACTCAAATGACGAGAAAGCTCAAAATTTTCAAAAATGTGAACTACCCGATGAATGATGGGTACGACTTGACAGTTGAAATAATCATAAGCTGCAACATCAGAATTATCCGTGGCTGGGAAGAATACTGAGAACTCTACCTGTGGACATTGAGAAACCTTCCAAAATATTACACATACAAATTCTTGAGATCAAATCGCTATGCAAAAAAAACACGTCAAATTACACTGATGAGGATTGCGTGGGAGGACAGACTATTACAGAACCTTAGGGTCAAAAGACAAAAGACGGAAAGCTAGCAATTAATACGTTAAAATGAAATTTATGCCTAATTGAGTAGAAGTGCCACGGTCAATACCATCTTTTTGCGCAAACCAGTCCCATAATACCAAAGAAATCGGCTTCCGCAGCGGAAATTTTGTGAGAAGAAAGCAAGATCGAGATTATACAACTCGGCTACTATATATTAGCGTTGCAGTGCTACAAAGTACTTGAAGTTCATGTGCACAGTGGTACAAAATGCCTAATTAACTGCTCAGAATACTAAAACCAACTGTCAGCCCACACCATTGATATACTAGATTTTACCTTTGACACACTGTACGCAGTGATAGAGCGCTTAGTTTTTTAAGTAACTGTTTACCCACTCGCGTTTTTGTAAAACGGGTGTAATGAAGAAATAGTGCAAGAATATCATACGCTCCTCTCTGGCAAAGAAATCCTTCTCTCTATGCCACTTTTTTGAGTTTGCTGACACTGTCAAATGTCAAATTCGGCATAAGAAAAAGTAGACAAGAGATTAAAGAGAGTGTACACGATGAGCAAAAGCATCGAAGTTGCAGAATCTTAAAAAAGAGTGTAGAAAGACTGAACGAAAGCAGAGAGTAAGGCTGACTCCACAAGCCATCCTTCCCTTCCCTCAAATTTGAATACAGCGCCTGCAAAACAGCGGAAGTCCGCTTTCGATGCCACCAAACTTCAAACGTATTCATACAACGTTTTGGATCAAAGCAGCCAAAAAACACAGCTCAAAATAAGAATAGCGACTGTGAAGCAACGAAAATCCCATTTTAAGGTCACTGTACCTCGGAGAATGTTGATGGAAAGATTGACACCGAAACCGAAGTAAAACAGAGCCCAAACTAAACCAGTCAGTCAAAATGGTTAGAGTGGCAAAAAACCACTCTGGCGTAAAATGCGGTGTGATGCGCACTGTGCAGAACGTACGGACCAATTGACGAGAGCTCAAAATTCTGACAATCACGAACCAGGAAGCTTGCAGCCAGTTACTTCAACTTACGGAATAAGTGCAGGTGGGGTAACCCTCTCCATTTGAAACTGTTTCTCCCTTGACAACAGTAGTGGCAATCTTCCAAACACTCCGTAAGCTTTCGTGTTCCTTCTCCAAACTTAGAGTTTCGCGTTCAGCCTCTTACTCATCTGTCTTTACTTCTTACAACTGCTTTGGATTCGGAGATCCTTCTTCTCCCGCATAAGGCATGTTTCTATCGTATTTTCTCGAGCCTGGGTACTGTCTGCACGCGATGGCATCCAGTCTTTGCAGACGGCGGTCGGGCAGGAGGCAGCAAAGACTAGCCGCCTTTGCTGTGGGGAGTACCTGGGGAATCCCAGACTTCCTCGCGCCTCTAATTGCTCGCCTCGCACCTCGCATGAGAGAGTGGACATGGGGGCATTAGGCCACGCCTATTGCTCCACCCACAAAACCGTCTTAGTGTTGAATCGTCTACCATGATGGATAGTGAGGATTTTTAGAAAAATCGAACTTTTATCACAAGATTGGAATTGGGCTTTTAGAACACATTGCTCCTTAAAGTGCACATGTTGCTATCATTCGTTGCATCTACTTGGATAACGTGGTAAATTCTGACATTTCTTCGCTGAGACTTAGGTCAAGTCATAAACAGTATTCATAATTCATCTTTCGTTTGTTCTTTTAGAGAATTCAGATTTCCACAAGATACAAAGAAATTGGCATTCTTATATCCAGTTAAGGCAATCGATAGGCGTTTTGATGACCTTTGCAGGTGCGACGCGCAAAAGTAACACTTGCAGTGTGCCTTCTAGGCATTTTCGCAATGCTAACATGAAAAACAAGCAATAATCGCTTTAATGAGGAAACAAACATGATAAGAAGGTTTGACACATGCAAATCAATAATCAAAATAAGATATTCAGTCATATAGCTTTATCAGATGTAAAGCGGGACATCTTTCTGCAGAATTTGGCGACAACTACAGAAGTCAGATATGGTGAATTTCTCAATTCTTCAAAACTAGACATAGCTTCTTCTATTTTTTCGCGGCGTATGCGATCCCTGCGGCGTAGCTGCTTGCTTTCATGAGGGAACTGCAGAAGGAATCACTCAGATAGCTCAATTATCAAAACATCCGGACTCAACTCACAGCTTCCATTCGCAGCAAGTTTGCTTTTGCTACTAGGGCCATACTCCGGAAAGTGAGAAGCAATTGTATTAGTGGTGGTCGTTTCTTTCCAATGATTTTTCGTAATCTCCTTCAAAATCATATTTTCACCATTCAATGATGAAAAATATACAGAACAAACACACCCGTGATAATTTTCGGCTGCGTTTGTAGTACGCAACTCTTGCATAGAATATTTGTTCCACATATTTGCAAATGGACCCGTAAACCATGTATCATTGAGGTAATCCAGAAAATTTCTACAGGGTAAAAACGCAGGATGTTGTGGACCTACGGGAGGGGTTTGCAAGGCATTGACCAAGTAATGGTATTCTGTGGGTAGGAAGGGTATTCCCTTGATGGTTCGCCACCATTTCACGATTCGATGAGATCTGGACTCCCCTCTCAAAAAATGCAAAATTCCCAAACTATTTCTTTTGCGAACCCACGCCTGGCTCAAATGCCAGGAACACCCTTCTATCTTAAATGTGGGAAAAGTTCGTCTAGCTGCGTTGATGGCTGCCATTTCGAAATCCACGATGAATCGCATCTCGCGCATTGTTAATGCGCGAGATGCAAAAGCTAATAGAGGTAGGACTTACCAGAATAGATGTGTACTTCCTCTCCTTTTTACATTGTCTGCATTGATACGTTACGATCCCCTCCCTGGAAGTCTTTCTTGCGTATTGGAAAATGTATGCTAGTGGACTTTCTGGTACTTCATAAATAATGACATTGTGTGTGCCTTTCTGACTTGTCTCCAGAACACCGGCGAATTGTCTACTCCCTTCGGATGTGGTAAGCTCCGTCGTCTCCATCGTTTCTCGTGCTTCTGATGTTTGCTCCATGGCCGTATCCGCTGGTGGGGTTATTGCCTGTGCTAGTGGAGATTGCACGGGAACATCTTCAAAGTTTTGCGAGGAAGTCGCCTCCGGATGATCTGCTGCAGGCTGTGTTTCTGGGGTTTGCACAGCTGCTTCATCGGATTGATAATATGCTGCAGGCTAAAACACGAAAGTTGGTTGCTTATCTGAGCATGCATTAGTAAATTTCTTACCGTTTCACTGAAGTACCCAACGTAGTCAGAAGATTGATCATTGGACAGATAATACGCTTCAGGCTAGAATGAAAAGTTCAGGAAAAACAGCTTAGCCCACAGAAACAGCTTCATTTACTTACCGTTCTTTCTGTGTAGTACGGAACGTAGGAATGGTCATAGAGATAATCTCCAAAGTGGTTGAAAATGTTGTCCATTGCTGTGCTCGATGTTGGTCTCCATGCGCAGTTTATATATTGCGCGGAGATCATAGCTATAGATTTTTTTGACCACAACTGCAATTTTATATAGCACCTTCACTTTCTTGAGGGTCGAATCAACTGTATTACACACTTAGTGTATCTCATTTAGTTTTGTTCTACTTTATTGTGGCGTTCATTTCAAAGCATTTCATTCAAAATCGGTATGATCGTCTTCTACCTCTACTCCCTCTCGTTTCTGTGCTTGTCTCCCACCTCTACTCTCTCGTTTCTGTATCTGTCGATCGTCTCTACAGAAATTAAGAAGTGCGATGCGAGCAATTAGAGGCGCGAGGAAGTCTGGGGCTCCCCAGGTACTCCCCACAGCAAAAGCGGGTTGCCTTTGCTGCCTCCTGCATGACGTCCTTTGCAGACAAAGATGGCATAGTCTAGTAAACGGAACTCATTGCTTCCTGCTCAATGTGAGAAAGCCTGTGGGTTGGCATAATTAATAATTAATAAGTAGGCATTCATGAAGAGCTACCAGGTGGTTTTTTCCTGGTCACCTGACATATAGTCAGGACAGGTGTATGTCAAAGGCGCAGTTTCCGGTTGTGGTGTTATTGCCAGGTATCAACGCTAAAGGCGAATAAAAGCTTAAAGCTACTTGGAAATACTGCAGATTTTTGAAAAAATTATGTGGTTGCATGATGTCTTGCGTTCTCGAAACATCCTTGAAACATGAATGCTTAGAGTCAAAAAGCCGGAAAAACAAGTAATTTTGCTGTTGTTTAGGAAGCTAAAAGCGCGGCGCTATTCCAGAATACACAAACCAAAAATCAGAACCTCGGATTTTGCTAGAACTTTGCGCAGGGTTTATTCGACATGCTGATCACGAAAATGACATTCATTTTGCATGAAAGGACCATTCTATGGGGTTACGATAGGCATACGGCAGTGGCGTACCGAGGGGAGGGGCGGGGGGGGGGGGGCGCGCGTCCCCCCCCCCCCGAGAATGGGTCGCGAAATTTTTGAAAGTTACTTAAATGGGTTATAAAAATGTGCAAGTGACTTGTTTATTTTTGTAAATAATTAAAATAATTTTTAAAAATTTTTCAAAATTCAAATTAGCCTTGTAAAAAATTTTTTTCGGGGGCGTGGCTGACGCCACGCCCCCTTTTTCCAGATTTCAGGGGTCGGGGACCCGCAAAAGTTTTGAGAACCACCCCAAAAAATTTTTCGGAGTGCGTGGCTAACGCCACGCGCCTTCTTTAGAAAAAAATTTTTGTCGCGCCCCCCCCCCCCGAGTCGAAATCCTGGGTACGCCACTGGTATACGGTATGGGGTCAAAATCATAGATTTGGCTGCAATTGGTCTAGGGGGGTTATTCAACACTCTGATGCCGAATCATATTTGTTTCATACGGTGGCGTCATTTTCTGGGGCTACGGTGGGTATATGGTAGGTGGTCATAATTGTGGATTTGCCTCTTGGTCCAGGGGGGTAGTTTGACATGCTGACGCTAGTCACGAATATCTTGTTTTTACCTCACGAAGACGTTTTCCGTTTTCCGACTCGTCCTATAGTCATGCCTTTCATACAGGACCATCGCCATGCGCGGCACATTCTGCGGCGGCTTTGGAAGCAAACACAGGGGAGGAAGATTTGCCCGCGTACCGTACGTCCTACCGTACCTAAAATATCCACACAGGAAAACGTCTTCGTGAGGTAAAAACAAGATATTCGTGATCAGCATGTCAAACTACCCCCCTGGACCAAGAGGCAAATCCACGATTTTGACCACCTACCATATACCCACCGTAGCCCCAGAAATGACGCCACCGTATGAAACAAATATGATTCGGCATCAGAGTGTTGAATAACCCCCTAAACCAATTTCAGCCAAATCTATGATTTTGACCCCATACCGTATACCTACCGTAACCCCACAAACATAGTCCTTACATGCAAAGTGAATGTTATTTTCGTGATCAGCATGTCGAATAACCCCTGTACGCAAAGTTTTAGCAAAATCCGAGATTTTGAATTTTTCGGCTGCGTATTCTGCAATAGTACCTACCTTATTTCACCGTGACAAAGCGTTGTAGTGTAATCCCCTACTTGGTACATAAATTCAGGAGCTATTTCACATTAGTTGACCCAGAAATGAAAATTGCGAATTTGGATAAAACTTCGTATGGGGGGGGGGGGTATTTTGCACGCTGATTACGAACATCATAATTATTTCGTACAGTACTGTTATCTGGTGGAGTTAAGGTAGGATACGGTAGGCGGTCAAGATCACGGATTTCAAGGGGAGTTACTTAGTACGCTGAACATGAGTAACATGTTCATTTCTTACGATAGCGCCGTCTCGGGTTACGGTGGGCATAAGGTATGTAGGTGGGCTAAAAATTCCGTATCTGATGACGTAAATGCTCAAAATTTTGCAAGGAGGTTCGCTAGCATGCTGTTAACACGTTGACGACAGCGTGCGTTTTTGGCTGTCTGCCTTGTGGGACAGTGCCTTCTTCTGTAAGTTGAGTATTTTTAGCTGAAATCAAGCAGGCCGTCATCTGTAGTATCCCTACAATGATTTTGAGAAGCAGCTAAGAAACGCGGAAGTAATTCCTAGGAATAAAGCATAAAAGAACTTCTAAAACCACAGTCATTGCATGACCCACCATGTGGGTCACATTGTCGTCAATGTGTTAATGAATATCTTGTTCCTTCGCTGCAAACGCCTTGTTGAGCATGATGTAAGTAATCATGCTCAAGACCTATAAGCGAAGCCTTGAGGAATTTCGGATATTTCAACCATATACCGTAGTCCGAAAAAATGAACGCTATCGTACGAAGTGAATATGATTTCATTTTCAGCGTACCATAATTTCCCCCCCCCCTCAGACATTATTTGGGGCGAATCCATGATTCTGACCCCCTACGGTTTTTTTTACCGTAACTCCATCAGAACTCGAATAATTGCGATATTCGTACTCAGTATGCAGAATAACCCCTTAGACGAAATCACAAAATGAGCAGCTAATTTCATGAGACGCCGTCAGTTGCACGCATGGTGGTAAGGCGCAAGCCATTGTTAGTCCACTTGATCCGCTTGATCCACTTCATCCACTTCGCTATTGCTCAAATCAGTGAATTGACCTATAGCGATGTGGATGAAGTAAATCTAGCGGCCATTTTCTAAGTGGATTAAGTATGGTGTTGCATGAAATGCTTATTGAGTTGCAAAACTCGAGAATACAGTGAGTATGGTAAAGATGTATTGTGAAGATGTAGACTTAGCTCTTTGATTTACGCTTTCACGGAAATTGAGCACTGCGCCTGTGACTGTGATTGACTGTTGTATCGGGAAGATTAGACATAAATTGGAATTTCTTTTGTCTCATTCATTACTGGAAAAAGGCGTGTACATTATTCTCTTTGATTGTTCAGAAGAAAATTGTCTATACTGAAGGCTGACCTAGGCAGTTCACAAAGTAGACACTCAAAATCTTGATGGTAAATATTGAGCTGCTGAAGCTATACCGAGTGAAGGCGATAAATGGAATTTTAGATGGCTCTACCTGCGACATTCGTGCCCACTCACCCTCATCCTACTGCTCAAACGCAGAAAATTGTTTGTTAGTTGTACATTGTGGAAAATGAGATAGGACCATTCGGGGATTGGCGTGAAAAGAATCCAAGACCCTCAAACAAGATGTGGATTTCGTGTAGGTCAACGTGTTTGTCAACGAACTCTAAGGTTAAAATCTCCGTATAGAACAGTGGGCTCTCCTTTCGGGGGGGGGGGGATAGATATTTCTCCAGATATTAGATGATTTGGTTTACTTCAACTATCGTTCTGGCTCATATGTAACTACAGCCTCAATTAATAATTATTGTATTATGATGTCCACTTCTGCGGAAAAGACTATTTAATTTCTTATTTATTCACTTTCGTAATTATGATTGTTTGCCGATTTTGAAGATTTGTCGCTTGTGTATGGTTTTGTAAATGTTTGCAAGATTCTCAATAATCTGGGAATTTTTTGCTGTTCAAAATGATATAGACACTGATATATAAGATCGATAATATCGCGCTGTCCCTGAGGCTCATATCGCACCTCAGCGCGACGAGGTGCAAGGAATTCTCTCGGCGGAGAGTTCTAGATGGTTAGCGTAATTATCCTACCATATGCGACTGCGCTGACGCCAGCTCTGGCGGCTGGCTGGGTGCCACTTGCTACGCACCCTTTTAGAACCTCATGTAAGTAACTTTCAAAAATTTCAAGACCCATTCTCGGGAGGGAGAAGGGGGGGGGCGTTTGCAACCTTTTGGTCCGCCACTGCTCTAACATTTTCACTGCACACCCGTCTTCATTAAAAAAAAAAAACATTTTCCACGGGTCAAGCCTACCTTGAGTTGGAAATCTACGTCGAGGTAGCTGCCATAGTAAATTTTGGCGTTTTTGAAGATCACCTTCAAATTTTGACCTCAGGATTCGTTGGTGAATACGGCCACTGGACATTGCGTAGCTATGTCCGCGTTAGCACCCGTGCGCCAATGAAGATGATCTTCAAAAACGAGGTCTTTCTCTTGAAATTAGGTACGTTTCTGTAGTCTACATGACTGCGCAAGTGGCTTATGTTTAGTCCAGGGCTCGGCACGAGCTGGCACCAGGGAAATTTCAAAAGGAATTCCCGTTTGATATTGAAAATTTTGTACGAAGTCCCTTTTGACCTGTTTTGAAAACCCGTCATCATTATTATATTATTGTAAAAGAATGCAATAGTGTTTTCGTGCATTTCTGTTTCCATGAAAGAACTTTTCACAGCTTTCTGAGCTTTTTAAGTGGACGAATCCCATCTTGAGAAGCAGAAAAAGCCGATTTTTCGACTGCGGAGCAGACCGAGTGGTTTTCAAATTGCTATAAAACGCTGAAAAGAGAAGATTATGAAACCGTTTCTTCTCCGCATGTAATCTTTACGGTGTAGATACATTTTATGTAAAAAAAATATGAAAACTTATATGAGCAAAGTGTCGGTGCCAGCTTAGCTGGCATCCAGCTGGCACGGTGCCAGCTAATTCAGAAAAAAGTTCGGCACAGCTTTCGTTCACATAAGTTTTCACAAATTTTTGGCCCGTAGTTCCGTTCCACCAGCGCGCATGCACACACCAAATTTGGTGTCATACTATTGCGTTTTGGCTGAGAACAACGCCTTTCTTTGTTGATGGACAGCTTGCCAATGGCATGCCGGTGGCATGCCGACGGCATTTTTGCGGCAGTTCTTGCCTCGGCCCCTGTAGAAACGATATCCCCTTTGCTTTCCGCCCTAAAAACGATATCTAGCTTGACTCAGTGCCAGCTGTGCTGAGCCCTGGTTTAATCGCATTGAAAGTTTGAGGATCTTGCAAGAATCTTAGATTTTTGAAAGGTTTTGAATTGGTGATTCATGTTGCCACACCCCTTTTAGAATTTCAAGATTAGCTCGCGTAAATTTGAACATCGAAAAATTTTGGAATTCTCGATGTCTTTTCTGTGAAAGGTTGAAGAGGTCAGAATTTAAGAGTGAAAGTAATAAAAGTGAGTAATAAAGATTTTATCCTTATAAACACCGAAACAGTGCTGTAGTGTTCTTCCGACTCGATGTCAAAGTGTCGATGTCTCGGCATCATCTTGTCACTGAGCACAGCTTACTATTTATAATGGAGTATCTGCATAAACGGCAGCGATATCGAAAGTTTCCTCTATCAAGAGCCGTTGCACTTTCTACCCCACTGTTGCTTTGTGTTCACAGTCGTTTGATGTTTTGAAATGTTCGATTTAAAGCATCACACGCACACATTGCATCTGCTGTTGTACTGCAGCTATTCATAACCCTTCTCTCTGCATCTATTGTTGCCAGACACATGGGCTGTAGAAGTCAGACTTGATTTTGTAAGTTGGCAGTTGCTGAACTCTTGCGAGCTGGTCTTACTACTAGTTACTAGCGCATTTTCGCAGAGATGAAAAGAGAAAAGTGAATATCTGGGGTAAGGAAGTCTCGTCTTTTTGACAGTTTTCAAGAATTCTACAGGTGAATTTTGTGTTAAATTTATGGTAGCATTGAATAGAGTAGATCAAAGAAAATCGAGCAGTCAACTCTTTTTCTCAAATTTTTTTTTGATGGCGGTATGGTTGGTAAAGTAAAATAATAGGATTTTTTGTCAAGTTTTTGATAATCATGCTTCAAAAACGACCCAAAGCTGGGAGAAATCCATAAATCATATGGACACATACGGTTTTGATTTGTCAAACATGATTGCTATAGTTGGTCAAATTTAAGCGATTTTTATTGTTGACATCCACAAATGCTTGAAGTTCTCACTTTTCTGGAGAAATTCGTAAACAGCAGGCCATAATCTTGCTTGTGGTCCGTAGGTAGTCAAAGGCTGCGTATCAGGTAATTACTTATCTGTGCTCTCACTACAGCTTAGAATAGAAATTCAGTAGTCAAAGTAGTGGTTATAGAAAAAAGTATTTTTTTCAGTTAAAATAGTGATTTTTCATTTCATCAGTGATAAAAAGTTTTGGTCAAAAGTATATGATAGAGTTGGGAACTTCCTCATAAATATCGTTGCTAAACGTAAGTAGCAGTCATTGGAAGTGTTGTAGAGCTTCGAATTTGCATGTCAAACGAAATTATTTATTAGACAACCTAACACCATTCCAGCTTTCAGTGGTCTTCATCACTGAGTTGTTTATATGCTGGGTAACACAAAAACCTTATTTGAATATGGAATTTTAGTATGCCTACCCTCGAAGACTTTTTCACGCCCATTGACGAGCTGAGGTACAGCGAACCTTCTTATTTTACCAGCAGTATGTCTAGCCAGTCAACCAGCACTGGAGCATTCGCTCAGGTATTTCTGTTTATCTCGCTCCTCTTCTGTCGAAACTATTGAACTTTGCAGAAAACTCCAGTCATGGCTCTCGATGAAGGTTCCCGACGAGTTTATGGAGTTGCACCAGAATATCAACTTATCTCGGAGGTCCGTTCTCACAGTTTTGTCGACATGCGTTCTTGGTGGTAAAATGGCTGAAATTTAAGAGTTGGTCGGATGGGTTAGGCCGCAGGTAATTGTTTGTACTCGTGATTGAATAAGATAATTTTTATGGCAATATGTATTGATCAGTGGTCCGTTCGGGGGAAAGCAACGAAAAATCCTTTTGGGTGGAGGTGCGCGGCGTTAGCCATGCATTCCGAAGTATATGCTTGGGACGTATGGGATGCTTCTGAAAGTTTTTGCTGGCCTATAATCCCTATCTAGCAGTGGCGGACCGAGGGGGGGAGGCGGGGTGAGGGGAGGGGGGCGCCCCCTCCCCCCGAGAATTGGTCGCGAAATCTTTGAAACTTACCTATATGGGTTGTAAAAATGTGCAAACGACTTGTTTGCACTTGAAAATAATTAAAATAATTTTTAAAATTTTTAAAAATTCGTTTTAGCCTTATAAAAAACTTTTCAGACTTTAGGGGTCGGGGACCCGCAAAAATTTTGAGAAGCACCCCAAAAAATTTTTCGGAGTGCGCGGCTAATGCCACGCACCTTCTTTAGAAAAATTTTTTTGTCGCGCCCCCCCCCCCCCGAAAAAAATTTCTCGGACCGCCACTGCTATCTAGGATGGGCGCCCTCGAAAAAAATTTGTCACAAGGTCAATTTGAATTCTCAAAAAATTCTAAACGCCTCAATCCTTTACAAGCATAAACAAGCAGATCGCACATTTTTATAACCCATATAAGTATAATAACATTTGTTAGCTTAACAGTATGATGGCTAGGTCAAATGCTTTGAATAAACAGTTTCAGATCCTTAAATACTAGTTTTGAAAATGCCATCTGCATTTGTGGTGGTCACCTTAGTGTTTCTGGTTAGGTTCGCACTTTTTATTATTTTAGGATTACTTTAAGAAATCTGAAATTGGGTTGAGCCGTACGCACTGCAGTTTACTTCAGAAAGGATACCCAACAAGCTAAAACCTGTTTGATTAGGCTAATCAGAGTCGCTGGCTCGAATTATGAAGTTCGCATTTTACAGCAGCTCATTTATAAGTTAGTCAAGATTACCATAACACTGTATTCACAATGTTCCGGAAATGTGATTACACCACGTAAAAGGCTTTGAAAACGCGTAAAAAAGAGAGCTGAAATTGGCGTGCATGAAATTCTTTTTGCACAATCTGCCAGATCTGTCTGGAAATGTTTTCGAATCAGTAGTTGAATCACAACGGCGCATGGTGCTGTTTTACCGTAATCCCACAGTATTGAAGAGGATTGACGACTTGCATATATACCCGTAAATTTCAAGCTGAAGCTATCCTATTGAATGGTACCTGAACATTGGCAAAATACTTTGTGGGAAGAGAGACGTTAACTTCTTTAGGTGCCGACCTTCAAAATATCCTGCCAACTAGCTGGCAAGTTCGTGACTTGCGATGCTAAAACAAAGAAAACGGCAAAACACCTTGCTGCGCGAGCGATGCTCCATGAAGTGATCAACAAAGGTAGACATGCTGAATTCGGTATCCCCGGTGAAACGATGCAGGAAGCCCATCAGGCTGTGTGAGTATGTACCTCACCATAAGAATTCTGTTCAATTCTCTATCTGGTTTCATCTAGTGATGCGCTTGTCTTTGGCGATGCACGCAATGAAGGAATTGAAGATGAGATGTTATCGCCCGAAACTCTGAACGAAAACTACTCAGGGAAACTTCTACAACTGTTAGTAGTTTGGTTATTTTGCCTTAGCTGCTTGTGCAAATGGCTGCTGCAGGTGTCAGAGAAAAAGCATCGAGCCTCCACAATACTCTGTGAGTGAAGAGGGACCCCCAAATGATAGGACATATACGACTATCTGTAGGGTAAGTGTTTTTCGCCTCTATAATGTGCTACATTTTGATGGTCCCTACTTTATAGAAATCTTCGTGCACAAACACTTTTAGGTTGTCAATCAAGAGGCCAAAGGTGTCGCCAAGCAAAAAAAGGTTTCAAAGAACATAGCCTCCCAAAGAATGCTCAACCTTCTCATGGAAGGCATCGGCAAGATGAATGAAGATCTAGATCTAGAGAAAGGTAAGTTTTCTGTTTTTGCACGTTATGCACGATCAGAAGGGCATGCACGGTTTCAGCTGGCACTCCATCTAAAGAGAACCACGAAGAAAATGCGGATACTGAAGGTAAAAACGAAAGCCTCACGGGCTTGAGCCTGATAAGCTAGCAGCGCGCATTATTTGTTAGAAAAGGAATTTTTGAACTCTATGATGCGCACTATATATAGGATATGGAGTAAAACAGCTTTTCTTTTCAGCTAAAGAAATTGCTTTTCTTCTCAACTTCTGAATCCATTCCAGCTTTCCAAGGAATGAAATTCACGTATTTTTATGATAAGGGGCAATTGCGCGGAAAATGCGGAAGAGACTAGGAAATTGAGGGAAATGTAAAATTGTGATTTTGCTTTTGTTGTCAACATACATCGTAATCTGATGATTCAAACCGTCTTGCGCGAATATGTAGAGGTATGCTCACTAATAATCATATCGATATCTGTTAACTGGGAATGAAAAAAAAAAAGAATGAAAGCCCAAGAATCGCTAAAATTGGAGGGACGTTGTTTTTAGACTACTTATCAAAGATTGCGCTTTTTGTTAGTATATTCGTGAGTCTTCTCCTTTAAATTCCTTGGAATTGCTCCTTCGAAATCTTCTCAGCACTTTTAATCGAATGTAATGAGTACTTACAATGTTTTATGGTACAGCGAAAAGTAACTAGAGAGGTTGTCTGATTCGCTGGTCGATGTATCATCATGGGCCTGTTGTAATTCATGGTTCCAGGTGCGCAATCAGCGGAGAATAGTGTAAGTGGGCGGGGTCGGGACGAGGGAGGCGGGGCACCAAAATGCAGACAAAGCTTCGTAAAAAGATCGTTTTCGCTTTTCATTCGATGAAAAGCCCGTATATGGATTCCTCATGGCGAGAAAGCTCCGAAATTTGAGAAACTGGAAAACGAAATTCTGCCGAGACACCGCTGCCTTTGAAGGCAATGTCCGGGCAAAAACTCGATTTTTAGAAAATCCACTTTTCGATTATCCGCAACGCTGAGTCCGAAAACACACATTAGAAGGCGCGAAAACGGCGAGAACATGCGTTTTCCAAAACCTTAGAATCTGGAATTCGGCGGTCCCGCCAAGGCTGAGACGTAAGCGCTTCGGGACCCTATGATTTTGATTGTGGCGGCATTCGTACTCTGCTGCATAGCAGGGATTTCACAGATTGGAGGACCCCGCCTAAAGGCGTAAGTTTCCCCACTTCCAAATCGTTTTTCTTGCTTTACGTCGAATGTTATAACCTCGTACTTACGCGATGGTGTGTCTGAGGAGATCCACATTCGCATGGCACTGAAATTCCAAAATCCCCTCCTTGTCCGGACACTGCCGTCATTGTTGATGTGTAAAAGGCCAGCGCGTCAGATAGCTAAGCTACATTATTACTTTTGGGGTAAAATCTGTTTTGGTTCCCTTTTATGATGTGCAAGCACACTGCATTATTCATGACGATGGCTAGGCCGACTTCGAAGAGTTGAAATCACCTAGTGTTTCTGCATCTGATTCAGATTTAAGAAAGTATTTCGGTTTTTGTGGGAAAAACATCTTCTATCTCCAAAAAATATTCAAAAAATCAAATTGCTTTCAAATAAGGGGGCGGGGCTTGCAATGTCTTATCCTGAGGAGCTCCTAATTAATGCGAGTCTGAATGTGTCTGGCGAGCACTCATTTAGGTGCGAGAATTTGGCTCGGGTGAGAAACTCCTCCCCCCCCCCCCCCCTGAATTTGTTGCTGTGGCACATATGCGGTCAGCAGTGACACCGCGCGCGGCGAGCTCTTGCCGCGCACAATTCTGTGCCTCACAAAAACTCTCCGGTGCTAAAGTTGCACGGCGCCACAGTAGGGGGGGGGGGGGTGGCGGCAGATACATGACTCGATGCCATAAGTAACATTGCGGCAGGAGTACTCACGGAAAGGTGAGGCCTGTACTGCTGGACTTCGCGTTGCGGCGTTTCGCGAAAAATCGTGACCCCTGACCCGTACCCAACATATGCCTCTCATAGGCTTTCGTATGACGTGGACCATTGCCAGTGCACTATGAGGTAGTGGCGGGAACAGTCTGGTTTGAATATGAGACGGAAACAATTTTAATGCCACCTTTTGCTTTTATTTTGTGCTCTGTTGACTTTGTCATTTTGAGTCTTCTTGCGCGAACTTTTATTCGCTTCTGGTTTCTAGCGTTGCTTGCAAAACCATTGCACCTTGGGAATTATCTAAGAAGGTCGGGGGAGGGGGTGGGGGGCACCAGAAAACTGCGCTATCGGTGTTTGGTAGGGTTGGACTTGAATCCGGGCAAGGCACATGAAAATAGTCACAAGAAATGAATAATTGCTTTCGTCTATTTTGCTTCTATTTTCTTTCTTATATTGCACTTTCTTCCATCGCATCGCGATGACTAATTGCTTTTCTAGATTGCTTTCAGAGACTGAAGTTCTATAGAAAAAAGTTGTCTACCTTCTGAGAAATGCTGAAATGACGATCTGTAATGAAGTAACCTTTTTGAGCCCCATGTTTGGTAAATAGATCGCACAGTTCTAGATCGTCTTTATTGAGGAAGTTGCTCAAATTATTGGCAGTGCATCTTAAGTCATCAGCTGTTTTGTCACATTTCTCTGAGAACGGATATTCACAGAAGCTTTTGCATTCGGAGGAGAATTCATTTTTAGAGTAATGGATAATCTGGACGTCAGCCTTGCTATCCTCAGCCATGATCGGTTCCAGCTTATCGAGTCAGGTTTAAGGCACTTTTCTTCAAAATCCGTTAAACAGAAAGGGTTAATTCTGCCGTAAAAAAAAGAAGACGTGTGCTATCAGTCTTCGAAGTCGTTGTTTTCGATCGAAATGATTGAAATGAGTAAGAATTACAAGAATATGTTTAAGATTCCGAATTGAAGATCTGACAGGTTATGCGTCTAAATCAACTCAAAAACTCATATTTTTAGAGCGACTTTAATGTTGAGAGGCTCCGAGACTTTTGAAAATTTATCATTTTATTTGCTATTGATTCAAAACATAAAATCCATATTTGCAATCTATCATGCTTGAAAGTGAACAATTGAGGTCATCTCAAGTGATTCAAGGCGCGAAGAAGTAATTAGAGGCGCGAGGAAGTCTAAAGCTCCTTAGATTCTTCCAAAGCAAAAGCGGCAAGCCATTGCTGCCTCCTGCCCGACCGCCGGATAATCTGCTTACCATTTGTTGCTGGGTCCTATGCAGGCTATTCCTATGCAACTTATTATCGTTTTGGAAAGTTACACTTTGGATAAAGCTTAGTCAATCTTAATCTGAGTAACACACCACATCATCGGAGTTAGATTTGGTTGACTTGCAAGAAAGCTCCACCTTTCTCAACATCTTTTTTCGTATATCATTTTGATACCAAGTAGTGTACGGAGAGGGGGGGGGGGGGAGGAGCCTTTCTCTCTCCCTGAGAATGGGTCGCGAAATTTTTGCAGGTTACATGAGATATAAAAATGTGCGGCGCTATTCCAGGATCCGGGCCCCAAAATTTTTTTCGCATGGATTTTGCTGAAACTCGGCCCGGAGGAGTTATTCGGCCCGCTGATGCTGAATATCACATTGGTTTTGTACCGTAGCGTCATTTTCTCGGGATACGATGGATATACGGTACGGGGTCAAAGTCTCAAAATTCGTTGTAACTTCGCACAGAGGGGTTATTCGACATGCTGATTAGAAATGTTATACTTTCTCCACACGAAAACATCTCCCTACATGGTCACGGTAGGTTTACATTAGGGTCAAAATACAAATCGGCAAATGTATCTTTCCCGTGTGCATTGCTTGGGCAAAAGCGCAGCAGGGTGTGTAGCGCGCGGCGGTGGTCGTGTGTGCAAAGCTTCACGATCGTCCGAGTCGCCGTACATCCGTTTCAGGCAGAACTATGTCTTTCACCCGTTACCGTATACCTACCATAGCCCGAGAAAATGAGGCTACGGTAGAAAACCAGTGTGATATTCGGCGTCAGCGGGCCGAATAATCTCCCTGGGTCAAGTTTCAGCGAATTCTATTTTGACCCCTTACCGTGTACCTACCGTAACCCGAGAGAGGCTGCGGTAGAAAACCAATGTAATATTTAGCATCAGCGGGCCGAATAACCCCTCTGGGCCTAGTTTCAGCAAAATCCATGCGAAAAAAAATTTTGGGGCCCGGATACTAGAATAGCGCCAAATGTGCAAATGACTCCTTTGTACATTTGAATAAATAAAATAATCTTTAAGATTTTTCAAAAATTGATTTAGATTTACAAAAAATTTTTTAAGGGTGTGGCTGCCGCCAATTGGTCTTGGGCCCGAAACCTTGAAAATTAAAAAAAACTATAAAAAATTTCGGAGTTTTTGAATGCCGCGCACCTCCATCCGGAAACAGTTTCGTCCCCTCTTCTTCCCTCCTACCCTCCCCCCCCCCCCCCCCGAATGGAAATCCTGGGGTGCGTGGCATTAGGTACCCAGTCATCAGTGGTATACACTAAGCCACGCCCCTTGGTTACTTTAACAGCGGGTATACTTAACGATACGCTAAATCCTAGCTGTTAGAACAGCTTACCTAGCCTAAGGTGCTGGCGCTTGCGATCCACAGAAAAAAGACAGTTGGAGGAAATCAGAAAAAAATTGCGCGAATGAAAGCGCAGCTTTGTACACAACGCTTTTTTCATTGCTTCTTTTTTATCAGCTTTAGAATCATAGAAATTCGGTGATGAAAGTTGAAAACAGGTTAAACTTTTATGAGCACTTCACATTGTTTTGAAAAAAATTGTGATAATTTGATCTAACTGATAATGTCAGAGGGTTTCAAAAATGAAGACTTTGTAGAATTCCAATAAACCAAAATTTTATGATTTTGAAGAAACAGTCCATTTTCGGAGATACTCCTGGCAATCAAGTTGCACGGAATATTCCTTTCACATATTGTCATCGGCCTCGTTGAGGTGTGAAGTTAAAGGTCGTAATCCATTAGTGTTAATATTGCCACACGATTGTGAACTCATTGTCGTAGATTATCGCTATTAGTTCGGTCATTGCTGAGGCCAACAGATCTATGGGACATTACATTGATGAGCACATTTTTCTAAATCGGGAGATTCCATGTCCCGGATGAAAATTTCATTGAGCTACTGTGTTTATCATGCCTGTGTTCTCTGTAGTGTTATTGAAGGACTTTTATATTGCAGTGTTTTATAGTCATTCTCTTTTCTAGCATCTAGAGATCAATATATCCAACCAAAGCTATGATTTTTTTTGTAACTCACTAAGAAGTGAAAGATTTCGTCAACCTATTTCATTCTATTGGTACATACTCATCCGAAGTTGGCATAGCTCCATAATGCAGAATTGATTTCATTGATTGGCTAGTGGCCTTTCCACTAATTAAAGAATATTACATAGTCCTCCTCAAAGTTCCGATTCCTGATGACAAATTCTCGTCGAAGCTGTTCTTTCAATTGGTTCCACTTCTCACTGTCAAAAATATAGTTGGAGCAGTTTTTTGAAACAAAATAATATTTCCTGCAACTTATTTGCCAGAAGCGTCTCCAAAAGTGCGCTTTGCTCCATTAAAATCATAAAATTTTGGTTCATTGGAATTCTTAGGGTTTGCTTTTCTGATTCCCGCTAACATTATCGGTTAGATTAGCTCATAAAAGCTTTACTTTGTTCTAGCTTTCATCACCGAATTTCTGGTTTTTCAAAATTGATAAAAAAACAGAAGCAATAAAGAAACGTTGTGTACAAACTTGCGCTTTTATTCGCGCATTTTTTAAATTTTCTTCAACTATCTTTCTTCTGTGGGTCGCAAGCGCCAGCACTTTAGCGAGCTAGGTAAGCTGTTCTAGCAGCTAGGATGTAGTGTATCGTTAGGTACCCGCTGTTAAGGTAACCAAGGGGCGTGGCCTAGTGTATACCACTGATGACTGGGTTCCTGGCGCCCACATCTCGGCTGGGTACCTAACGCCCGCCCCCCGAAATCCTGGCACCGCCATTGCTATGATATATCTGATTTCACGGAATATTTAACTGAGCTCAAGAATACGAAGAGCGATGTGTTGGCTAGTGATTGTACGAGTTATCTTTGTTATCTCTTACAGTACCTGGGGCAGATATGACTACGCCTACTGCACCGTTGGATTGGGAAAAGCCATCTTCTAATGCCGTGGAAACGCTTAAAGAGATTCTGTCGGATCCGAAAAAATTCGATGCACCGACACAGGAATATCGTATCATCGAGAACAAATCTGCTTTTGGTGAGTACTGTTCACTTCGTCAACTTCACATCAAAAAGCAGGCAGTAGTAAATCGTCTCAAAAATGATGGCTTTTATCTCGTACCTTGCTTTTCCATGCAATTTCTGGAATGGGGTTCTGACAATACGAAAACTGACTTTTACCAAGTTGCTGCCAATGGTGGTTTCGAGACAGATATTTTTGAAAATCCGAGTTCAACAAGCATCTCCACTTTTCAAATAATATTCTTAAACATCTCTATTAAGCAGTCCCTTTGGGTTCTGTTGCATAATTTCAAGGATTGAATCTCCTCTCATGTGTACATTTAAGTAGGTAGTCGCAACAGGTTGGCAGACTTTTTGCTTAGTTTTTGAAGAACGTGCATCTATTTTCTGTAATCAGGTTTGCACTTTGTTTTCAGTGCGCTTTCTTGATCTTGTTTATGATAAATTCGGTAAGGCTACTTGTTTTAAAACACTATTAAATGTTTAGTTTGAACTGGCAGTAGAAGTAGAAAATGCACTGTTTAGGAGCTATCATGCACTGATGTATAATATTTAGCTTTTTTGAATTTTACTGGTCGTTCTAGAACTTATCGCACGTTACAGGGGTTGCTGAGCGCGCTGATTTCTAATTCCAGCAGAGATTTTGTCCGCAATAGTTACGTTCATTATTTCGACACTCGAACCGGGAAAAATGATTTCTTCATTTGGGAAAAGCGTAGGGTCTAGTTCGACGGAATAGTGCTTCTGCAGTGGCGGCAATATTTGCGCGAAAACAAACGCCCGGCTCATGCATGCCGTCTTGCTTGTGAGTAGCGGATAAAAATTGGCGATGAAGCGCATATTCTCATTGTTCACGTGCATATTTTGTTGGGAACTTAAGGACACTACTTTTGCCTTTCGTCTACTTTCTCTACTGGACTGTATCAAATCTATAAAAGCTTGTTTTCAAGAAGTCTGAATTAGAGGTAAATGTTTGATTTCGTTAGGCAAGGAACTTGATTTCCTTTCTTTTGGTGTATATGATCATCACTCCACCTTCATGTAATATTCTAATATATAAAGAATCGTAAGCGCAATTTAAAAATGTGCAAACAGCGGGAAACCTCGTGGCGGTCCCAGCGCGCGGATGCAATCTAGCGCCTTTGATTACTGGTTCACTAGTGAGATCTAACTTCAGTAGAGTTTGCGTCAAAGACTCTACATGCGTCACTTTTCGCTCAGACGACTTTTTTGGAATTGTCAGTGATATGAAGATAGTGCGTTTGTCTGTTAAGTGACGTAGCAATACTGCTTGCTACAGCTATCGGTCGCGTTATCTCTTCCAGCGCCTTTTTCTCATTTTGCACTTGGAAGGAATTCCATAAGAACAAAACCAAAGAACGAGCAGAATTAGTTCCCTTCCGCTTCATTACTATACTTCATGATAAAAACTAGATTTTTTAGGACTGACACAGTGTTTATTGAAAATCGTCTTCGCGAAACCAGGAGAACAACAGCGGACTCCATTTGTGTTCCCTGGCGAACATACAACTGAAGAAGGAGCAAAACAGCAAGCTGCTCACCGCGCAGTTCTTTTCTTGACATCATAAATTGTGCCTATCTTTATTCCAACATACGATATGCTGCTCAAAACCTCTTCCATGTAGTTTTCGGACGCTTGCTTTCTTTTTCTTTGTGAATTTACCTGTCAACATTCTAACGACTGTCAGCTGTTATGTCAAGATTTTTCCGTTTTTCAGTTTTTTCGAAAACGTTTGCTATGACGTTATGTCTGTGAGAGGTCGTGCTCTGCAGCCTGTAATGCTGCATGGATTGAAAGATGCTTTGAACCAGCAAGCTGTTCTCAGGCTATGTGCAATTTTTGAAGACTTTTGTTTTTTTTATATGGATAGAATTTTTTGAGAGTTGAAGTACTTGCTGCAAACGCTGTTATTTTTTTTCATAGCTAAAAATGCACGGATAGTTCCATAAATTAGCGCATACCACCTTGTAGCGGAGTGATGAAAACAAGATAAAATCATTTATTCGGATCGATAGACTTACAGGTTTTTGATCACTGGTCATTTTTTATTGTTGTCGCTTACAATTAGTTCGAGCTTGTTCGATCGGCGGCGTTTATAAGCAGTGATCTTACCCGTGCAACTCATCCAGAATCGCTTGATTTGATAACCCGACAAGCTTTTCTCAACAACGATTTAAATATTGAAAAACGTACAACTTTAAAAACAGTAGATAACATAACTGAGGTACAGAGAGAATAGAAGAGAATCTGGAAAAATCCTGTGTACTTCTTGAAAGTTAGTACATCATATTTTCGTCTCATTTTCATTATAAGGTTTACATTTGCAGGTGGAAATATCTCGAATGACTGGTAAAACTGTATTTCAGGAACTACAAAGGTGTGCTTTGAAGAAAAGCGCACTTCTAACAACCTTTGAAAAAAATTTACAAAAATAATTGAAAGAGATCTTTACGCAGTTGCCACTATGCCCAACATAAGATTTTCCTATACCAATGCATGAAGCTGTATGTGAAGTCAAAAGAAAGAACAAATCAATAGGGGACCTGTTTAGCTTCTATATAGTCGAGTAAGAATTTCTTAATTAGCAGAAGAAACCAGAAACGAGTTTTTTCTTCACTACTGTTTCTTCACTATTCTTTCACTATTCTTTCGTGGTCTGATTTGATGTGGCTTGAATACCCTCATTTTCTCAGTTTCTGGTACCGAGAAAATAAGGTATTCAAGCAAGAAAAAGTCTTATCATTAGGGGCCTGCTCAGATGGTATTTTTGACCTGAGCAAGGAACGAAAACGGATCATTCATCATTCTCATCAAATATGTTGTAGCATTGATGGATTAAGAAAATCATAATAGCTGGCAACATTCAACGGGAATGTTATCGAAGATCGATTACCACATTACACAAACTAATCTGCGTCTATTATCACAAAATGATGCTCTGGATAATTGCTTCATTCTAGTTGAGCGCTGTAACATTGTCGAAACGATCAGAGCCGCAATTATGTACTAGTCTAATGTAAGCTGAGCACTTGTACTGTGAAAAAATTCAAAAAGGTTTTGATTTAATAACTATCAAGCCAGTGAACTTAGCTGAATAGGAGTATGTACTACATATACAGAAAATGCAAAATGTGAGAGGATGTTACAATATCTGCTTTTGTTTAGTGCTTTATCCTGAGCAATAACCCCTAGACTCACCTATGATAAGTCAAATAATGTGATTTGGAACACAGCGAGTCTGTGTGCACGGCAGCAAATGGGGCCGTGACAAGTGTAATTTTCAGAAGTGCATTTCTTATGTATTTTCATGCTCTCCATTATTGACGCAAGGTTATCCATTCATTTAGTTTCGTTTTAGATTTGATTGCATAGCAATTCATTATTCTTGAGTAACTCCGTGTGGCTCCCGAAATTGCATGCAAAACTGAAAATAGAATGCATTTGAACACAGCAATCAGAAGTCGCAAAAAATCTAGATTGCAGTTTTTCTTAGATCGCTGTAATGGATGAACAAGAAAAAATGCAGTTTTTCTTAGATCGCTGTAATGGATGAACAAGAAAAAAAGTTGCTCGGTTTTTTCCAAGATAAAGGAAATTTATAGTGGATTATTCTTGGTTACTGTACGCAACAACCAATGAGGATATTCAACCTTATCAAAATGTACAGTAACATCGATTGATTAACAAAATCATAACATTGGCAACATTAACCAAGAACCTTGTTACCAAGGATCGATCGATATTTTCGATGTTTCTGTGGGCATTCACCCAAGATTAAGCATCCAGTAAGATACAAGTTTCGTATTACATGAGATGAAAGAACAATGAGCATAAAAATTATGTCAGTGGAATTGACTTCTCAATTAGAGTCGCTTCTTCCTACGATGTAAAAGATCTAAGCACCTTCTCAACTCCTGTTGAGTGCTCGATAATATGAGCAAAAAAAATCACTCTCCATTCCTGTGCAGTTTTAGGAGGAAAAACTCTCGCAAGGGAAGTTCGCTTGGTCGAAGTGGTGGAGATGCGGAAGTTGATGTGTACCTATGGATAGGGCTTGAATAGATCTCAAATATAGCTTTTATATCTGAGAAGCATTCCCCCATAGGAAGTTATGGGCTTTTTGTATTTATAGTGGAAGTGTAGTCTAAAAGGAAAATGACATGTTGATAACAACATGGATGGACAACGCTCCAAAACGTTCAGATGATATTAGATTAGACCTAAAATGCTTAATAGTTGTTTGTCTAAGCCTGCATACTTTTGTGTGAAAACTACCGTGTTTTACGACTAAAGCACGAAAATTTGGCATAAAAAAGCTCATAACTTTTCCCAGAAGAGCGCATCGCAGGTATAGAAGTTGTGTCTGACATCAGCGTTCAAAGCTCTATTCATGGGTATACATCACTTTCCAAACCGCCATTTCGACCAAGCGAATTTCTGTTGTCAGAACAACTGAATCATTCTTTTAAACAAACAACTCTTCAAGGCAATGGGCAGCTGTATTATAATTCCATGTCAAACGCAAGCGAAAAAGTTTCATCGATGTATTGTGTCGAAGAGCTAGCTTTACACGTAATATAAGTTTGGAACGATACAGAAGCTCTATACATTAAAGTAGAAGATCTATGTATTCACATGCCAGGTAACTTTCATTTTCTGAGACATGAGGTCCTCCTCTTTGCGGAGGTCTGATTAACAGGTTTAAAGTGCGTTTCAACGCGTTTTGGAAAATTACTAATATCAGGAATTTTTGAATAAACATGTTCGAATTTGTTTGCTCAACCTTGTTCGAACACGTTCTTTCAAGAACCTAATAGTAATCAGCCAAAACGCGTTAGAACTCAACTCATGAAGATGTTGATCAAATGTACGCAAAGCGTGCTCGTTTCTCTATCTCGTTAGTCAGAATGTATCCTTTGATTCAACTGACTTGGCTTCGGGAAGGCGGGTTTTGTGAATTAAAGCCGCTCGCGCCCGCGACGCACCTACGTCCCTCTCGCGCTAGTGCTCTCTGATCACGAGCTAACTTTAATTAGGTCACGGAGCCCCGCCTTCCCGAAGCCGACCAGTTGAATCAAATGGTAACCTACAGACAGCATTGTGTGTGCACCGTTTGAGCTGAAACCGTGCACACATATCGTCGAGTCATTCGTTAATATGTGTAGTGCACACCAAGCACGCTAACTGACGAACAACAAAACTAGAACCTGCTCGTTTCCAGTGATTTCTACTTGTTTCCTCGTCTCTTTTGTTTTTCTTGATTACATGTTAGTCAATAGAATGTTTCACTGGAAAGTTACCAGTAAGGTGCCGTCGCTCATAGGGCTTAGTGTACAGTCTCACATATTAAGCTACAAATGACTCGAGGTTAAATTTTCAACAATGGTCATTGTAGGACACTTCAAATTATTGAGTTCCCATATCGATGTGTCGGATTACTAACTTCTGGAAAAATCCAGGTTATCGTGTTTTGACCGGTCATTTTTTCATTCATCTAAAACGAGCGGCAAAGCTCACTTTAACTCCGAAAATCGCCAGGATGCTGTGCAAGCCGAAGTGTGCAAGGAAGGCGGAGGAAAGAGGTAAGATGGAGTCGTGAGTTTTATCATGTTACGTGAGACAGCGTGCGAAGCTGGGCATCCCAGCTGGTTTATAAATAATCACAAAAAGTTTGATACATGTTGCGGCGGTCTTGTTATCAGTCTACCACAAAAAAGTGTGACGTAAGCCCGACTGCAGTTTGCAGTGTGCATTCGCGATAAAGTGCAAATTCTCGTCCCTTCATTTAGATGAAAGTATCATAATAACAATGTTGGCGCAAAATCGTATTTTCGAACGGTAAAGTAGCTTGTGCGTAGCGATAACATGAGTTCTTCGCTCCGACAGGCATTTTACTGCAGTTTTTATACTAACGCTCGTAAAGATACGATCGAACTTGAGCAAGATGAAGCAAAATCGTATGGTGCTCTATGATTTATGCCATCCTCACGTGACTTTATTCTCCTTTTTTCGCCAGCATTTTTGGCGGAAGTTTTTGCGCATGTACTCTGGCCATAGTCATCGCGAAATTTCTAAGACTGTGTCAGTCAAGAGCACTGCTATAAGGGATTGTAATACATTTACTCGTGCGCACTTATTGTGCATTTTGTAAATAAAATAAATAAATAAATGAGGAATCAAAGCAGATATGAACCCCCAGGTTACGTGGTTTGTAAACTTGGCTCTTTGATATTCACGAGCAAGTCAGCGATTGAAAGGATCCTAGCTCACATGTCAAAGGTCCATAGCGATAATGGGTCCTGTATTAGGTCAATATTCGCGTCGGCTATTCGATTTAACTTGGAAGAGCTAAATTTGAACTGTTCCCCACGAAATCGCTCTGAATAGTCTCTCATAAACTTATATGAATAAGAATGTCCAATTCATTGCATAAGCGGCGCGGTACATAAAATTCAGTTTAAAAAGTTGGCCGATGAAAAACGTTGCAAGAAATCAACGATTTATTTTTCATTAGTAATCCTTAAAAGTAATTATATGCATATACCTACGACTGATTCACTTCACAGTTCCCTTTATGCGATTCGAAAAAGGACATAAGAGGGCAATTTGAATCTCTAGGAATTTGATATAAACTCCAAGACTCAGACAATATTGATATCAAGTTCACAAATGAGCTAAACCATCATTAATGGTTTGGTTTGTTCCTCCTACATCGAGGTAATATTTATCCAGACTAAATAAATCGAAAGTGCAATACACTAGACCTGCACTTGGTTGCTCTGGATGATCAGGATCGATATAATAGATAGGGCATTAGTAATTATACTCTCGCAAAAGTGTGATCTATCGATGGTCTACAAAATATGGGCAAAGCAACGAACAATCGAAACGGGGAAGCT